CCTGGACCATGAGGCAGCATCCTCTCCTTAAATGTCACATCTGATGTGCTTCTGAGCTAGCTGGCGGCACTGCGGGGCCCCAGAGCGGTTTTCAAAAGCAAACTCTTTCCTCAGGAAAAAAAAAATTATGGCAGAATCCATATCACAGTAGCACAAGAAAAAAAAACAGCAAATTTGGAGCAGTTAAGAAAGCTGGAAGTTCGTGTCACTGTTTATGTAAAAGCAGCTGCTCAGGTGGTAAAGGGTGGAGAAAACTGGAGGTTTGGAGCCAGTGATTGAGCACCTACTGTGTGCCATGCATTGCCCTAGGCTGTCAGGATACAGATGAGAACACAGCAAGACAGGGTATCTGTTCTCATGCAGCCTGGTGGGGAGAGACAGCAAAGCAAAAACCAAGTGTGTAAATACAAAAGGCAGTTTCAGGGCAGAACAGACACGATAGCAAACAGAAAGGAAGGCGACGTGAGGGCAGCCGGGGAAGCTGGTGCAGCTCAGAGAAGCTTCTCTGAGGAAGCAGCCTCTTGGCTGAGACAAAGACAAGGCGTAGCCAGCCACTAGAGGGAGCTTCGGAGCGAGAGCATTCCAAGCAGAGAGAACAGCAAGTGCAAAGGCCCTGAGGAGGCAATGTTTTATATGTTCAAGAAAGAAACATACACAACATGACTGGAGCAGCAGGAGGGGGTGGAGAGTGAGAGGAGAGGAGGCCCAGGGTTCAGGGCCAGCGCAGGAACGGCCTCAGGCCAGGGGCGAGGGGAAAGACAGGTCTGCATGCTGGGGGAGTCCTAGCTCCAAGGGACAGAAGTTCTCTGCAAAGCCAGCCTGCCTTTCAGCTCCTTGGGTTTTCCTACTCGCACAGGAATACTTCGCCTTCCTTCCCAGGGCTGCAATAGCCATCCTGGGAGACGGAGACGGCTGGGAAGTGAGTAGCAGAGACCTGCGCAGGGGAAGTGTTTAACAACACGGGCTCCCTGGCGTTCCTCCTTCCCAGTCCCTCGTGCCCGGAAGTCAGCCCACCACAGAATGGAGCAGCTGCTTGGTGCAGAAATATTGCAAAACTGGTCCAGGCATTTCCAAAATATTTTTTTTGGCCAAAAACCCACTCGCAGCTAAGAGACTGCATTCTGGAGATGGCATCGTCTCCCTGGACAGTTCTATCAAGCTGCTCATCCAGCCCGGGAGCTCTGTGAGGGCCAAGGCCATGGGGGCTGGGCCCTGTGTCCCCGTAGCTGCCCAGGCCCGGCAGGTGGGGTGTGCCCAGGGTTTGGCCTCTGGAGCCAGACAGGCTGGGTGCAAACCCCGGCCCTGCCATTTCCTGGCACAGCTGTGACTTCCCTGGGCCTCACTTTCCTCATCTGTAAAATGGGGCTGTATTCGGGATGAAAGGAGTGGATCAATGTGAAGTCCTCAGAACACACATGAGGCTGAAATATTATCATCAGACCTGGTGGGACTTAATTCTTCTTGGTGGTTATTATCGAGGCCAGGTGCCACCACTACAGGTGCAGAATTCTACCAGGTTGGATCACCCCTGGCTATGTCCCACACCTCCCTCTCCTGCACCCCACCCTCACCGGGAGTCTACACGGCGCCTCCCCGGACCCCTGTGTAGCTCTGGCCACACCAAATAGTGGTGGCTGGGCAGCTGCACAGCCCTGGGTCATGCCTGTTTCTCTCCATGCTCCAGCATGGGGCCCTGCCCAGGGAAGCATCTTTAGTAAAGGCTGGTGAATAAGTAAATGAATAAATGACTTTCACCAGCCACAGGTGCAGCCATCTTGGGAGAATGAACATGACCAGAGCTCTCACGTGGGCATTGCAGCCCACTTTTGGGCGGCTCCTCCCTCAGGTCTGATAGCAGATGGGGGCTCTTCCTCCCTCGTTCTTTTAACCGAGTCCCCAGCGCCACCTCTGCTCGCTGGGAAGGTCAGCCATCCCTGCTAGTCCGCACCTCACCCAGTCTCCCTGAAGGGTCTCAGCAGTCCCTCGGTTTCAACCCTCTCCATTCCCTGCCACCCCTTACGCTTACGCCAAGTGCCATCGTGCCCCACAAACCCGCCCCCCACAAACCTGTCCCCCCTATAAACCTGCCCCCCCCACAGCAACTGAGGCGGGCATGCTGCTGACCTCCAACTGCACCTGGGCTTCCCCACCCGCCCCAAGAAATTCACGCACCCGTCCCACACAGCAGCCTCATGCTCCCCCCGGGCACAGCCCCGCCACGTCTGGGGGTGACTCAGCCACGCGTGCTCGGCACTAACTGCTCGAGCCCCTCGAGTGGGACTGGTGCTAACCAGATGGACAACGTGCCTTTGGCTGCCACCCACCTTTCCGGACTCAGTCCCCCTGGCCTGCTCCTACTTGGGTTTTCTGAGGTCACCCAAATAAGCTACTTGCTGCTGAACCCTTATCTCAGGATCTGCCTCTGGGGGAACCCAGACCGAGACACTGACAATCCTTCCCACAGAGCGTTCTGCAGTCAGGCCACCGTCGCCCTCCCGGAATGACGGCAACGCCGTTGAAGCTGCTCTGCCGGCCTTGTCTTGCTCCCCAGGCCTCCCCCACATTGCAGATGGAGGGAGGGATGTGGACGTGGAGGTGGGTGAATGTGTCAGTGACTACGAAGGGGTGGGCAAAAGTCGGTGCACAACTGTGAGTACACGAAACACAGAGTACAGACACAGGCATGCAGACATCAATGTGGGTACGAATACAGACAAATAATCCAGACAGTCTCTTCCCTGCTCAGAGTGCCCTGAGGTCCCCCATGCCCAGCCTCTTCTTTTCAAGGCTGCTCCTGCTCCCTGCGCCCCCACCCCCATGCTGGCTTCCAGTCTGGGCTGCTCCTGCTTCCGGACTTTGCCCCTGCGGGCCCCTCCGCCTGAAGGCTGTTTGTTGGGCTGGCTCCTCTCATCATCTAGGTCCCAGCCCCTCAGAGAAGTGGCCCTGAAGGAGCCTCCCACTTTCTCTCTATCACCACACATTCCCTCCTGAGCACCCAAGAGGGTCTTGTTTGTTCCTGGGTTCACGCCTCAATCGGTTCTCTCTCCCCTAGCCTGCCCCCCCCATGGGGCTGGGGGCCTGATCTGCTCTTGCTCACAGCAGTATAGCCAGCATGGAGTGGACACTCAGTGGGTGTTTGTTGAAGGATACAAGAAGGGATTTTGCACCGGCTGTTGACCTGGCAAACACAGCTGATGCCTGTTTCGTGTTCAGGAGATGAAATGGGCACCAGGTTGGGGTGGGGCTGTGGGACCTGGGCTGTGGGGACCCGGGCTGGGAGTGGAGGGCTTCCGCAGCCCCTGACCCTGCGTCTCCTTGTTCTGAATTCCAGGGCTTGCAGTCGGGGCCAGAACGGCTTCCCCGTCTCTCATCCTCAGGCCTCAAGGAGTTGGCCTTTCCTCCTCCGGCTTCCCAGCTGCCCCCAGACAAGCCCCTGGCCTCTTTCCACCCAGGGTGAGCTGCCTGCTCTGCAGGGGCCAGAGGAGGCTTCGCCCAAGCGGGGGAGACGGCGGCACGCACAGTGTGCCAGGGGCTCCCAGCCTTTGTCCCTACTGTGTGCTTCCTGAGCCCCCCGGTGGATTTCCATTCCCTTCTGTTGTCCCTGAGGTAGGTACTCCCCAGCTGCCTCCCTACCCTGGTCCTCAACCCCTTCCTCCAGGAAGCCCTCCACCCTAGCACAGACACCAGTCATGAAACCATGGTGTGTGAGCCCAGTGTCTACTGAAGTGCGACCTCTTGTTTGATGGGCAGATCACCTTCCTGTCAGGTGCCTCCTGCAGGAGAGAAGACCGGACTCTCTCCTCTCTCCTCTCCTCCTCCCATGCTCCTCACCCACCTCCATCTTCTCCTTCCAGGTATAGCCATTTCCCACTCAGGTTCTAGGGTCACAGGATTTGGAGTCAGACAGACTGGGTTTAAATGTTCACTGTCGTAGCTTGGGTCTCCCCAGAAGTAGACTCTGAGGTAGAGATTCAAGAACGGGGGAGATCTTTAGGAGAGGCAGGGCCTCTGGGCGGAGAGAAGGGAAGAGGCACGGGGGAGAAGGCGGCTGACCCGGCGAGCTGCTAACCCTGTGGACAGCTGACCAATCCCGCAGGGCCCTGGGGGTGATCTGCTGTGGGGGCCAGGGAGCTCAGCCACCTTCTGTGGTGCGGGCAGGGAAGGCCCCGGCACAGAGATGTGGACGTGGGCGGCAGGAAGACCCCAGAGCTTCCCAGAGGAGCTGAGGGGTGTGGGCAGGGCGCTGACAGAGCCTGCTCTAACTGCTCTGCCCCCGGCTCGCTGAGCTGTGTGACCTTAGGCAAGTCACTCCACCTCCCTGAGCCTGAACTTCCTCGCCTGCAAAAGCTGGGCTGTAATTTCTGTGGGGGTGGGGGCCAGCAGGAATATGAGATCAGGCATGAAAAGCCCTTTGTATGGGGTCAGGGGGGTGGGCAGGGAGCATGTGGTGGCCACTCAGCAGGCTCAGCTGAGGTTCTGCCACTCTAACCGTAACTCACGGTGCCTTTCCTTTTCTGTCTGTGGCGAGGCCCTTCTCCCCTCCTACCTCCCCTCTGCCTTCTGGCCCAGGGATTTGTTTGCTGATGGGTGTCCCCCGCAGCGAGGCACACAAAGTCAGTGCATTCTAAGCTGCCAGGAGCATCCACGGCTCAGACAAATCTTGCCCACTGTCGCCTCCCTGGCGTGGTCAGGGCGACACAGCTGTGGTTCCCCCTTTAGGCCCACGGCTGGCCTGGGCCTGGACTTCAGCCTCGGGTCACCTGCCCACCTTTAAGCACTCCCGTCTCCCTCCTGCTTGTTTAGCAACACACCCCCTCTGCAAGCTGCCGCATGCAGAGGGCTTGCTACACTAAGACACCAGCCTCAGTTTCCCCATCTGTAGAGTGCGTTTGTGGGAGAAAGCAGGGGTCCAGGGGGAGGTTCGCCTGCTCATCACTGGGCTCCTCCTCTGCAGACGGCCCGGGGTCTGTGCGCAGGCTCCTGTCGGCGAGGCCACTTACGGGCTGCGTGTCTCTCGTGGCGGCAGTCTAAGCGAAGGTCCTCCTCCTCATTCCCATCCCCCTTCTCGATTCTGGGAAGAAAAGAACCCAAAGGCTGTGTAAGAGAGAGCAGGCTGAGCTGGCAGAGGCCCAGGACTAGGACATGTGGACTCTCCCCCAGAGGACGGTTTGCAAAGCAGCTTGGCCCCGCTGCCCATGAGGCCCTCACCGCCGCCCTGTGAGCTGGACGCCATTATTTCCACTTTGCGGATGAAGAAATGGAGGCATTGGGAGGTGACGTGACCAGTAAGGTGCCACATAGCTAATGCATTGGAGGCAGAACCCGGATGCAAACCCACCTGCTGTGACAAAAAGATGTTCCGTTATGTGCAAATGGCAGGTTACAAAAGAATGTGTACAGTGCGATTTGTTTAAACAATGATGCACTGGCGTGCACAGGAAGCTATTTGGCTGAGTGTACTCCAGAAGCCTCGCAGTGACTAACCTGGGATAACGAGAATACAGGCGTTAGATCTGGAGCCTTTTTTGCAACTTACCTGTTTTCTGATTTGGAGCAGAAATGGACTTGCATTAGCTGTGGCAGTTTGCTTAACTAATTAAAACACTTCCTAAAGCCAGTTCTACACACAAATGGAGCCCTGGGCTTCTCCCTTCCAGCAAGTGCTATTTCCTAGCAGCAACTGTGAGCGTTTCTCCCATATGGCTTCCTCCTCCTCTGGCATCTCAAGATCACCGCAGTTCCAGAGGGGCTGCCTCCTCTGGTGTGGCCAGGGTCGAGGAGCCCCAAGCACAGGCCAACAGGGTCAGGGGGAGGTGCTGCAGACTCTCAGACGTGGCCCCAGACCAAGACCCTCAGCCCACCCTGCCGATGACGATGACGGGCCTGAGGGGGTGGGGCCACGTGGCCACTGTGCACTCACCTTCTGTGGCCCAGGCCAACGTGCACCGCCCTTAGAGAAACACAGTGTGTCCCCTGCGGTAGGAACCATGGTGACCTTTGTATCTCCTGAGAGCACCGAGAGCACCCCCAGCTCTACCTCTGCGGCCGCGCCCTGGCCTCTTCCCCCTTCCTCTCTGCCTTCCGCTTGCCTTGCAGCTGCCAGAGACCTCCCTCCTCACGTCTCACTCCCGGTGCTTCCCCAGACTCTCCAGTGCCCTCAGCGAGGCCTTCCCTTCCCCCTCCCTGCTCTACTGCCACCCTCTCTGCTCCCTCTCATGTGAGGGAGCCTCAGTCCTCTCCAAGCAAACCGCCCACCCCATTGTCTGGGTCTTCCCAGCACTGCTTGTTCCTGGAGGCTGGGGGACATGGGGGGGGGTGGTTGAGTGACAGGCGATCAATGGCAGAAATGGCCTTAGTAGGTGGGGGAGAGACTCGTGAGTGCTGGTTGCCTCAGATCGCTCACTCATCCACCCAGCAGGAGTTTCCTGAGTCCTACTCTGTGTGGACAGCAATGTCCTCTTCGTGGTCCCAGTTCTCAGAGAGCTTCCTGTCTAGTAGAAAAACACGCTTGTACTCTCGTTAGAACATGACAGGCGCTGACCAAAGGGCCACCTGAGGATTGCCCATACCGTCCTCACCAGGCGCCAGGACTGGGCTGCCCGGGGAGCAAACCCCGGATGCCAGTCTCATTTACAGACACCTCCATGCCCGGGCGGCCCCGCCAACAGGACGACTGCCTCAGTGTTGTTGCCATGGGAAGGTCCCGTGGGATGGGAGATGTCTCTTTTTGTGTCTCTTAGTAGAAACGTCTTCACTATTTTCCTGATAGCACAGGTTTGTGAAAAAAGGTCCACCCCATAAAGCCCCCCCCAGAATTACACCTCCGTGGAGCAGTGTGACCCCTGTGAGTAGTTCTGTGTCCACATTTTCAGAACTAAGGCTTGTACCAATAGCCTCAAATTAAATACACTGTTCTCGTAACCTGGTTTTTTTAAGTTGCCCATAAATTTCCACATGTTTCTATACCAGTACACATAAACCTCACTCACTTTTCTTCCTGATAGTGGCTTGTGAAGAAAATAACCAATATTCAATACCCTGTTGACAGACATTTAGGTGTTTTTCCAGTTTTTTCCCTGTTCTAAGTGATGCCATGTGCACATCTAGCAAGGCGTTGAGCCCCTGTCCACAGGGGTGCCCAAGGCTGGGGTGTCCCTATTCACGAAGCCGCAGCTGGATTCAAACAGCTGGGCCAGGGGACAGAGCCCATCCTCCGCCCCGAGCACCACCTGCTGGGTCACGTCACATCCAGTGCCGCGGAGTCCGCCGACACCACGTCCACCTGCACTCCGCAGCTGGACCCTTGAACCCATTCCCTGGTTGTCCCGGGCTCCGGGCTTCCTCCAGGCCTCATGCTGGGCACCTCCTGGGCCTCTGCTGAGAGCCTCAGCCTGGGGGAGGGGCCAGGGAGCAAAGGAGTTGATGTTGAAGGCAAGAACCAGCCTGCCTGGCATGCCGCTCCTCTTCCTGGTCACCCAAACCTTGCTTGGTTCAACAGCTAACATATCAAGGGTCACCTGCCCATGAGTGGGTGTCTGCTCTGGGCCAGGCCTTGTGCTGCCATTGGGACCACGACTCAGAGAGGTCTCTGCCCTTGAGAAGCTCATGCCTGCTACTCAGGTTAAGGCTGGAGGTTATTTAGAAGGTTGAATAAGGGTGGACTGACTGTCTGATCCAGCAGACTTTTTCTATAGAGGTGTAGATGGCAAGTATGTGAGGCTTTGTGGACTATGTGGTCTCTGTCACAGCTACTCAGCTACTATTAGCCTTATAGTTCCAAGCAGCCACAGACAATATGCAAATAAATGGGCGTGGTCCCCTCACAGCAGGTGGTGGCTGGATCAGCTTGTGGGAGACAGTGGGTTAACCTCTGGTCTAGCCTGCGGTTCTCAACTCGGAGACCCACTGAAGGCCGCTGGGGGAGTCTTCCATTGCCCAGTGATGGGATGTGCGGCCAGGGCTGGGAGCCACTGGTATCCCTCAGGACGAGCAGGGGCTCCATGGGGGAGGGGAGCCGGAGCAGCACGAAAGCTGGGTGACGTGCTCACTCCCCGAGAGGCTGGCCTGCCTTCTGTGGCCCATGCTGCCATTCTGGAAAGCGTGGGCTCCTCGCGCAGGCACAGCCCTCACCACCAGCTTTGCCAGTGGAAGCGGCAGACCTGCGAGGCTGGCAGCCAACCAGTGAGTGGCGACTGTGCCAGTGGTGGTGGCGAGGACTGATGGCCCTCCGGGGAGGTTGCTGGGGGTCCCCGGGGTGCTGAGCTTTGTGTAGAAAGAAAAGGAACAACTGCAAATGTCACCAGGTGACAATTGCCTTTGATTTGAACTGTAATTTCCTACAGAGCATGTTATGTGCTTTCTGAAGATAGGCCTTTTTTTTTTCTTTGAACACAGTGATGTGGAAAATTAGCCGCACATTTAAATAAGGGCCTTGAATGGAGTGGTTGGGGCAAACAGGGCTCAGGAGGGGCAGTGGGTGGGACCCCTGGCGCCTGACCTGCTGGGTTGCTCCTATCTGGGGTGCGGCTGTCTCCTCTGTGAGCTATTCGAGTCTGGCCACATCCTGTCATCTCCAGCCTTGATTTTCTCATCTGACAAATGGGCACAATAATGTACCTGTCTCTTAGGGCGGTTGTAAGACTAAGAGAGTTACGAAACACTTTAGTGCCTCTGTTTAGCTCTTAGAGCCCCGCTTGGCACTCACCGCCGTCCTCAGCGTCATCACAGCGGTTGTCGCCACCTCCCTCATCTCTGGGCCTTTGCGGTCTGACCCTCTGTGACTCCACCTCCTAGTTCCTGATGAGGAAGGAGATCATTCTATCGTATCAACCAGTGCTGCCCCAAGCCCTGCACGCCCCTTCCTCTGTGCACCATTTAGACCGGAGCCACTTGTTGCCTGAGGGAAAAAGATGCTTTGGAAGAAACAGAAAAGGCTTCGGAGTAGCAAACACTCCTGGGTTCCAGGCAGAGGGAGCCTGGGGGCCACAGCCCAGCCCTCCGCCCCAGAGAGGCAGTCTCCCGCTGCTGCGGGACCGAGAGAGTCAGAGCAGAGGCTCAAGTGAGATGACGCTGTGGGACCAGGGAGCGGCATGGGCCCCAGGGAGAGGTGGCAATGCCAAGGCACCGTCTCACAAGTGAGAGACAAATAAACCGGTGAACTGTTTACGTCCTCGTCATTGTGGGTCTGTTCACACCCACTCAGCCTGTGTTCTGACCAGAGTCATCGCTGTTGTCCCGGCGTCGCAGACGTGAAACGGGAGCTGAGATCAGCTGCCACCTGCCGCATTTACTGGCATGCTGGCAGGGTGCACAGCCCGGCTCTGCAGTGCAGGGAGAGCCCTGTAGGCGGAGTTCGTGACCTTCTGCGGGGGGGGGGGGGGGGCGGGGGCTCCGGGCACCGCTGCTGTGGAGCTGCTGACTTGCAGCTGGCGGTGGCAGGGCCGTGACTTGGACTCGGGCGTATGGGTCCCTGTGTCCCTCAGACCCCTGGCTGGCAGGGGGCCTCAGTCAGACGCCCAGGGTTGCCTGCGCAGTGGGGTCCCGGTGGGCAGGGGCCCACAGATGCGCCAGCAGCTGTGCGGGGCATGACTGCACTGCCCCCCGCATTTCCCCAGCGACTCACAACATCTGGAGTCAGATGAAGGCCGGGTATTTGCTCTTTTTGAGAGAAGAAAAGGATGCAGGCGAGTGATAGAAGCAGGGGCTCCGAGGCGTTCGAAGGTTCGAGGGCAGGCCGGAGCCAGTAACTCGTCTCCCCAGGACCTACACCCCTAATTCCAGGGCCGGGTTGGCCACTGCAGCCGGGGCCCATCTCTGCCAGCATGCTCACCAGCCCTGGGGCCTGTCTGTGTCCCCTCTAAGCCATCCCTCTCCCTGGCCCCGGGCTGGCCGCCCACCTCCAGGGTCCAGCCCCTTCCTAGTGTGAGCTGACCATCCACATGCCGTGCTTCTCCGATCCTGTGACAAGGGACTAGGTCCTCCTCCTTCATTTTCAATCTACCTTGGACCAGTTTTTAATAAAATACAATAAAAATGAGTTACTAGAAAATGAAATTTAAAAAATAACGTACA